TTGGCATGTGGTGCTGGGAATCGAATCCCAGTCCCTACACTTGCCTAAGCAGGTGCTTAATCTGCTACGCTATCTCACGAGCCCTTCTTTTCTTTTTCAAATAAATTATAAACTCCTTGAAGACACAAGCTCCCCCCCCCTATTTCTTGTCCCCTGTCTATGTAATAAAAAGGTACTACACACATGCTAGCAGTCTGATAAATCCTTGCATAACAGAGAATTATCTGTTTCATTTTACTGTGATTTTTGTGTACGTTTTTGTTATGACTCTAGCTTTAGTATCAGCTACTCTTTTGGATGTCAACGCAACTGCATTTAGTAGTATACTATGTTTTTGCTTTTAATTTGCAACTCTAACCATCAGTGTGATTGCAGGGATCAGTCTTGCTAAAACAATATTTTCAAATAGGCATTCCTAAGAACATAGAGGAGAGGCCTAAGTCCTCAGAGAAGTGAGGACTGGGGTGGCTGCTTTTTTTACTCATAGATTTAAAGCTACCCTCGGGAGACTGTAGATTACTAAATTCTGGCTGTCATTGACATGTGATTTGCTAAAACTTTATAATAGCTATATATAAAGGTTTACTACTCAAATCACAATAAGCACATGTTTTTGTATATGATGACAAGAGGGAAGAACTTTCTCCCTTTTTGCAAGCAAATCTCACGGAATGTGTAAACTTAGGGTGATTATGGATTTGGTTTTGCTGGTTGAGAGGCTCAGTTCAACTCTGGTCAACCCCAAGTCCTGTAAGATTTATTCACCTAAACCAAACATTCAAGAGATTAACCAAGAATGCTAATTTATTAATTTACACAGATAAAATAGACCGGCCTAGTGAACCAGCAAACTCATGTAAGCTAATTAGGTATCTCTTCCCAGGAAGAAAGTTTACTTAGTAAGGATTAGAAGAGAGTTAAGATAGATCGATTATTTTAAAGATGTCATCAGGCTGTGATAGCCAGATATATTGCATTATCCAAATGGGTCTAATTATTGCATTTAGAAACTATCAATAGTGGCCTGATAACATAAAAGGTCCTTGATTGTGCAATAGTTCCAAAACAGATTTTCCTGGCTGGCCATTTCTCTGAGGTGGCTTGTCTCCCAACTACAGCTTAGAATCCTGTTTTATCCCTTCTTGTAGTTCTCCCACTCTCTCTGTGTTGGCTTTCCTTGCTGGATCTTTTGTACCTGAGCAGAGGAGGGAAGGTTGATGGAGGACCCGCCCAATAGTGCTTACTTCTGTCTGTGTCTTGTGCCCAGTTCTCCATTTTGTGCTTCTACCTAACTACAAGGGAGGCTAATGCATACAGTCTAGTTCTGTGCAGGAAGCAAATAGAATAATATGGACTAAGCTCTGCCATGTACCTTATTGTCTGTGGGACCAGACCACTCAGATGCCTGGAGCACTGTGTAGGGTCAGCAGGTACTTGCTTTCCTGGGCTGTTGGAGACATGTGGACAGATCTTCACTATCCAGGCCTTCTTTGTAGTTATTCTTTCAATAGCCAAAATCACCACAGATGGTAATTCTTCCTCATGAGATAGGCAGGTTCCCTTTTTCCCAACTCCTACTTATTGCATATTATACACATAAACTTATTTTTTTGGACAGATACTTTAGACTGCATACTAAAATTCAGGGGTGATCTTGTAATTATTACTGCTACAGTCATGAATGCTTTCCTGAGTGGATTGTTTATTGAAAGTATTATCAGATGGTTAACCAGTCTACTTATGGTAGATCATGTCAGCCTTAGTTTGAAGTTTTCTACCTTGACCCCAAACAAGATAGCATGTCTTACTCAAAAGTTTTAGCTGTTGAACTGTAATTTGTATATCTCTAGTCCAAAAGTATTTCTCTTGCACCTTTCAACTCTTTCACTGTTAAGTGATACATAAAATTTAAAATTTTAACTATGTCATTTTACAGAGAAAAATAATTTGCTTAAAAGAGCAGTGCCACACAGCCTTGAGGTACTACAGAAAAATGTTCCCTTAATGTTATCACAAGTTATTTGTCTAAGATTTAGTTTAATCATTTATATAAGATAGCAATGATAATTGTCATCTATGCTTTTTCTGAAAGCACAATCGTAAGTTTACTATTTAGGCAAAAAACAGAAGGGGAAAAATGTGAATTTCTTAAAGAGATTCCTTACCTATAGAAAATTCACTCAACACTTTAATACACAGAACTAGTAAGAAACAGCACAAAACAGTTTATAAGTTGAGAAACAATATTTTGTAGACATTATACTTACATTTTCAAATATGCAAATGAAATGTCAGAATATTAACAATGTAATTTCAAGTGAAAAATGTTACTAATCATAAAAATGTAGAGTCTCCTGATCTGTGATATGTGTTTGCAAGTGTGTACATGGAACATATACATATATAATAAAACATGTTATATGATATAATTTTAATATTTTTTATCTATACTTTAAAATATACTTTCCAAGCATTCTATAAAGAATGCATGCCATTGCCATAATCAGAAAAAAAAAAGAAAAGGAAACATACACCTAGAATAGTCATTATTATTTCAGTCTTGCTTACTCTTATGTAACTAAACTACTAAAGAGTACTTTGCTGTTGACAACTGTACCAAAAGTAGTATGAACTTGGAAACCCCTTAACTACTGACTTCCTGGGTCTCAACTTCCTCATGCATAAAGTGAGAAAAATCACAGTAACTCTAGACAGGCTTAACTGGGTACATATAAAGCACACTAAAATACTGCAGTATCTAGATGGATTGCCAGGAACTTCTCAATGTTATTTATATTTGCGTGGCTATTTATAGAACTGGCAGCATATCCCCTTTCATAATAATGGGGATAGATACCATCTGTTGGACACATAAGACATAGCTATGAGACCAACACTTTGCCTATGTTATTTTATTTAATCTTCCTAACAGCTCAGAGAGAATTTTTATCCATATTTTCCTCCCAGTGAAATGGCACACAGAAGGGCCAAATGATTTGCCAAGGTTACACAGATAGTAAGCCACAAAGAAAGGGTTTTATCCCAGACCTGTCAGACTCAGAAGTTCACGTTCTTTCTTCTGTAACATATGCTTTCTGCTTAGCAAGAGATACTCCTCCTGATACAAACATTCAAAGGGTAAGGTTGCCAAAAGATTAGCTTCCTTTCAACAACTTGTCCATGGGAGAATGACAAAGAAAGATTAATACCACATGAGTGAGGTAAGGGTTTATAATTTGTCAAGTACCTGCTCTGAAAGGTCCTAAAGAAACTTATTGTCTTGTTGAAGAGCTGGTTCCTATATAATCAAAAACTACTGTGTCCTGGATATCTTCCAGACCTTGCAAATGCCTCCAAAATTTAAATCATCTTTCCTCCCTAGCTGACCTACCTTCCCCTGTCCTCTAATGGCAACACCATTATTCATCCAATCACACAAGCCCTCTTCCTTTCCTCTGAATGTCGACATCAAGTCAGACGAAGGGTTGTGTGACGTGTATCTTGAACATATCATCTTTCTCCTATTTTCATCATCTTCACATTAGAGTGAGCCCTTATCCTTTCTTGTCCTGGACCAATGAGGATAAACTGGTCTTTTAGAGATGAGAGGCCAAACTTCAACCCCAAACCCGCTAACCTATCTCAGAGTGCCAGCACTGCACTTAACCCTGAATACAGAGGTATTAATTTAGGGAAGAAAAAAAAAAACACCTTATACATTAACATCATTTGTCTTAAAATAAAAAACAAAAATAGCACACATGATATGGGTTTACCGCCATTGCACCAAAATAGTGTATTCTCAGTCCTCTTGTCTCTAGAATCTCCTCTAAAATGTCTCTCATACTGCTGTCAAAATAAATATCTCCCAGATTTCTGGCCAACAGACTTGAGAACATTACTTCCTTGTCACTAGATGCAACTATTTGAAATTCTTCAGATGTGCCGTTTCTAAAACATTATTTAAGATGGCTATTTTCTATGCCCATAAAAGCTATGTGAATTGGGAAGTATAGGGGCAATGCTAACACCAAGCATGTCACAGTGCATCTTGAAGGGTACACATTTTACTTAAAACAGAAGTCTTTGTTCCTTCAAGGTTGGGCCTCTAAAATCTGTGTAGTAGAACCCTGTATAAATATTGGATGCTGCTTTACAGAGAAAGTTAATTTAGTAAACCCATTGATTAAAAAAACAACAACATTGTTATAATCAATTGAAATAAAGAAGTAGGAGACCTTTCAAAGATAAATTAAATGGGAAGTGTAAATACGGAACAGATTATACAATCAAGAATGTTTCGTTTGGATTTTAATTGTATTGCTGGCCTCCTTGACATTTTAATGGCACTACTGATTCTCAAATCAATGTCTGTCAGCTTCAGTGGTCAACGTTAATTAACACAGCATTGTTCTGCATGTCTACATTTTATCCCCTCCCCAGGCTGCCCAGTGACTATTCTTTATGCCATTAATCCGTTTTTTTTTTTTTTTTTTTTTTTTTTTTTGGGTGGGGAAGGGTCTACAGGGTGTTCAGGGTCTCACTACTAGATTGAACTCGTCATGATCCACCTGTTTACAGCCTCCCAAGAGCTTGGATTACAGGCGCCCGCCACCATGCCTAGTCTGCCATTAATCCATTGTGATTAGAAATATACGGATTACTTCCAGAAGGCTTGGACCTCTGTCTTTAGGTGTTGTTTTTCTTTAGTGAAAGACTGGGCCAGAATAAAATGGTTTAACCCATTTGCTAAGCTTCTGCTTGTAAGGAGGACAAGTCACAGAGGACAGGGTATGGACTGGTATTTCTTTTTCAGCTTCCTCCAGTGACATTCTAAACTTAGACAACTCAGTAAGAATTAGGCTTTGGGGCTTTGGGTTCTAATCAAATTTGACTCCTTGAGCTAATATTTCTTTTCTTTTTTGCCCTCTGGGTCTAATTTCTCTGTGTTTACAGTATATGCAAACATGTTTCTCATTAGTGTTTATTTACTACCACAGGAATCACTTTGAAACCTCCTGATTCTATTGGAAATGATTTTCTCAAAATAAACCCAGATCATATTGGATTTTATCGTGTAAATTATGAAGAACCAACTTGGCAGCAGATAGCTTCTGAGCTTTTGTCAAACCACATGGTAAGCAACAGCAATGGTTATGAATTGTTTTGTTTTGTTCTAGGAACAATATTTTGATGATGCTAATTTTTGAAACACATTTTGAGAATCACATTTTTACCTCCTTCCCCCCACCTCTTTCCAGAACTTTTCTTCTGCCGACCGTGCAAGTCTTATTGATGATGCCTTTGCCTTGGCAAGGTAAGTTTTGTAATAATGTTAGATCACTTAGAATGTCATGAGTTTTTACATAATTTTTGAATAAATTACAGCAACATTTGAGTGTTAATTAATTTAATCTAAATATCAAAAACCCAATATTTTAAACATTATATTTCTTGAGCCTTTTAAAAATGTGCATATGAGCCACATATCCAAAACCCTGTGATTAGCTCTTGACATATAAAACCTTAACTACCCTATTGGCTTTGAGTATAGTTTTCTCTGCTCTAAGCAGAGTCCTAGAGCTAATTAGGAGTGATATTTGTATGTCCTCAAAAATTCACTTCATAATTTGATTTAATAAAAGGACAAACAATGTATTTCATTACTTTGGTTTAGTGAGCCCAAGATCACCATAAGATTTTAATGTTTCCATTGGTAGATCTTCTTCTGGTCCTAGGGCCAGCAAGAATGAGCCATGGTGCTTCATGGTTCACCTGAATTAAGGTATCTACCTCTTTCTTCCATGACCTGAGGGGGGTCTGCACTTGGATAATCAGCAAAGGCTAGGGGACAGAAGTATGGTAACTCTGATACCTCTACATGCATTTCAGGTAGTCAGCATTAGTAGTTCAATAAGTTTTTGGATTTTGCAAGAGCTGGAGATGCAGCTGATTTCATTTCTGCATTTATTTTGGCCTCATTCTAAAGCTCAGAAGGAGATGCCATTTGTTCAGGTAGCCTCCCTTGGCTCATATCGGGGGTGGGTGCCCCTCTTAGGGGTCATCCTTCCCCACATTATTATACTGCACTGCTAGTTCACTGGCACCTGTGAAAGTGAGTCTTATGAGGTAAACACCCTTCAAGGCCGCAGGGTGCTGTGAAATCGCCCATGTGTATGGACTAAACAGATGGCATCCAGGACAGCAGGACAACAAGGAAGGCTGGAGAAGGTCTTCACATGCTCCTTGTGACAGCGTATTGGAATTCAGAAAACCTTTTTGACATTTTTGAAGGAAAAAATCACTTGGCTTAAAAGTAGATTGGAGCCTGATGAAAATCCTGTAGCATGTAAATTCTTAACCTCAGTTTTCTTTAAAATAGGTATGACCTTATAAGACTCTTGTGACATATGAGTAACAGACTAAAGCACTCCCCAAATTCTCTGGCCTGTTGAAGATGCTCAGTAATAAATAATAATAATTGTATTATTTATTTCTAGCACTCTGGGAGGCTGAGGCAGGATGAATAAAGTTCAAGCCCAGCATGGGCAACTTACCAATTTGGCAAGATGCCCAATCAATCAATTAATTGATCAGTCAATCAGGTTGGGGTTTGGGGCTAGAACTCACAGCAAATGGCCTGGGTTTCATCCTTAATCCTTGCAAAATAAACCCATACATGTATTTAATATATTCATGCAAATATATATGTATACTGTTTGACAAAAATACATCCCACATGGATTACTAGCAACAAAGATGGATTTAGAAAAACACTGAATTTGTAATCTAGGTTCCCTTCATAGGTGGTATACACTATGCATGATATGTTACAGTGAATTCTTAAATTTAGACTTCACATTTAATCTCTCACATATGTAATAGATGATTTGCATCACATTACATTTTCTCCTTTAATAAATAAGTTGTAAGAACCTAATATGTACTAGACACTGCGTACATCCTGGGAAATTAAGTGATGAAAGAAGATGTTCAATAAATATTGTAAAACATAACAAAATGACTTAAAATAACAAAACCACTTAGAGTTATTTTCTGGGAAATTCTCTGTAATCATCATACATCATGATTCTTGCCAAAGCCAGAGTCCTGGCTGTTAAGTTGGCTGTAGTTAATTTCCATCACAACATAACCCAGAAGGGCTTGCTTTAAAATGGGTGAGCACCTGCTGAACAGCTTTCTCTCTCAGGAATTGGATGTAAAGCAAGTAACTCACAGCACTGAAAGACTTCCTTACGTATTCTCAGCTCCTTGGCCCAAACCTCATAAAACTTTTAAGAGTTATGGAAAGGATGAAAGTGAAACAAATTTGAAATCCCAAAGTATACATAGCATCACACAACAGAAATGGAAACACCTAAGTTTTCGTTGGGCCCAGTTTTCTACTGTAACATGGAAGGAAATGGAATTCAGAGAGTAGCAGATGCCATCAGGGCTGGTGAGGGCTCTGCCTGGTCGCTGGGACACTGGTGTGGGGAAAGGCAGGAATGTGTGTGATGTAGACAAGTGCCTGGGGTGGGGATAGAATTCATATAGGACTATTAGGGGATTAAGAAGAAATATAACATGTATGTTTCATAATAAGAGTAAACGTGTACATCTGAAAATAAGTGTATTCTTTGTTGTTCTTCAAACTCAGCTGAAGAGCTAATAATATTTTACTGCCCTGGTGGAGCATCTAGTTGGGTACATGACTTGGCCAAGAGAAGTAGAATGAAAGTTCACCCCATCCTTCTAGTTCCTGAAGCCATCTCAGTTCTGGAATATGCCCAGCCAAGTAAAATCAGTGAAGCCTCTGACATCAAGCAAAGCTCCCATCAGTCCCCAGTTCAGGCCAGGCACCCACAGTGGGATAGGACTTGACTTCCTTTTCCCTTCCCTGTTGGCAATTTCCTCTTCATCTCACCAGCATGTACCTCCAGTTCCTCCAAAGTTAAGGCAAGGAGAACAAGGAGGGAGCATGGGAGACAGGAAGGAAAATCCTGGCCTGCTGTTGGTGCCTGTCTACCTTCCTTCTCCTCAGCACTTTGAACAGCTTTCTTTCTGGCTCTTCTTCTCATGGGATGTTTTCATGGGACTTTTGCCACCCACACTCATCTCATCACTAGGAATCTTTCCTGCATGCTTCCCTTGAGGGAGAGAAGGGAAAATCTCTGACCTACTCCATTCTGTGGGACATATTTGTGTATCCTTTGCCCTGACAGTGTTTGGAGGAGCGGGCCACCCTACACAGTGTCATATCTTCACTCTAAGGCACCAGACAAACAGTAGTCTATAGACTACAGTTTTCTGTGAATGGGGACAGGGACAACTAGGTGAAGGGCAAATGGAAGAAAAGATAACATAGAAGACCACTTAAGCTAATAATCCAAGCAAAATTGCACCCAGATTTCTAACAACAGTAGCTCCCAGGGCATATGAGAGGGCTGTGCTAGCAAATAAGGACCATCAGGTGAGTGTTGGCCAATAAGCAAGAGCCTGCATATCTTCCTGTGGTATAACATTTGCATTGGTATTTGGAGAGATGGTGACAGGATATCAGAGAACTGCAAAAGCAACTCTTGGCACCCCTTCAGGGACTGCCCTTCAAGGAAAGGGAAGAAAAGCAGGAAATGAATCCAAGGAGATTTAGCTAATTGTGAAGACACTGTTTTAATGCAGAAATCCAAATTTAATTGGCAAGTTAATCAGCTGGAAACTTCATTATTCTCCAGATGACATAGAAGCTCAGCAGGACTGATGAGTGTATGGGTTACTTCCGCCTGTCACACACCTCTCACAACCAGTTTACTGTCCTACTAAAGGGCCAAAAAAAATTGCTTCACAACTTTTTTAGCTCAGTGTTCTCTAAGAAGGACTGTGTAGTCTTTTAAAACTTTGCCCAAGAAAATAAAAATGCAAAGCTTCTGCTACAAGAGTGGGACAAAGACATCTACAGAGTCTGCTACAAGAGTCTCATAACTTTCCCAAGTACCTTAGCATAAGATACAAAAGCAAGGAAACTCTTCTACCCTTCTCCATTGCCTTTGGTAAGAACTTTGTCCCAGCTCCCATCTGCTCTGTGCTGTGGATTGGAGTCCAGTTACCATGAATAAGTGCTGCAGCCCTGGCTCTCAGCATCTAAGTGCAAGAGGTTTGAATTGAGAATGTTGTCAGCCACATCTGCCCTTCAGAACTGCTGCTTGTCTATGAACTTAACAAATGGGCCAAACATTGTGTAAGAACAGTGTTTTGAACAGAGTCCCACAGAAGTAGAGGAGAAAATAGGGATCCTTCAAGTGATTTTTGGAGTGTGTCCTCTTATGATCTAGGGAGCAAGAGAAGCAGACTAGGACAGGGAAAATGTGATCTCCTCTGAAATCCAGCTTTGCCACATCCCACTAGGAAGTTATGGTGCTTGATCCAGCTCATGGGAAGTTTGTTGGCCTCTATATTTCTAAATCAGGCAGTTAGTAGGCAGGGGTGGTATTGGGTAGCCTCCTGAGAGAGAAGGATGTCCTAGGCCCATGGCTATTCCTCGGAGAAGGCAACATACCTGAGAGACACAGACTCTGAGGAAATCTGGGACGGGCGCTGTAGATGTCTTTGTCCCACCAACGGTATCAGCTTTGCCTAGGAATTTGGGAGAAGTGAACATTATTGGGCCCTCCTGGGAGACAACCAAACCAGAGGCTCTGTGGCTGGGTATGTACATAGCCAACCTCCAGATGCCACTGATGTGAGCTCCAGTAAAAGAATGTGGTTCTTGTTGCTACTGCTCTGCTGATGTACCATGTGCCACTAATCCAGGAGCTGTGGAGGGAAGGAAAAGCCATCAGCGTCACTCTTAAATGTGATCCCTATGCTATCAGCCAATGGAGTGCATTTCTGCTTCCATGTCCTGACCCTGCGACTCACACTTTAAGAGAATAATTGATACTAAAGTGGAACAATGATGTAGCTACCAAGTGTATTAGAAAAAGTAAGGCACTGGAGTAGGATACTGAGTTTTCAGGCATTCTAGTATTTGGTATGTTGGCCAGACCTTTGATCATTGGGTTTCATCCTTATGACTAATTGTATGACCCAGTTATCCAGTTCTTTTGGCTTATAATTAAGGCCCATATGTCTGAATACTTTCACTTTCGTGAAATTCACAGTCAGCCTCGTTGGCTTCTAACCAAAGCATCTATTGTTCTTTTTAGAGTTCCATTAACCTCTTCATTAATTTGGTACTCAGTTATAAATATTCTTCATAAATCTCCTAGGAAAATACTGACTGAACGTAGGTGTTGCAGTCTCAATCTAGGAAATTAGAAAATTATTCAAGTTAGAAAATTGTCCATTAAGTTGTAAATCTCAACAAAATTCTGCAGTATTTTACTTAACAAACATTCTCAAAAATTATTGCATTTTTTGAAATTATTTGTACTTACATTAAGGGAGACTAAATAAATGCTCCAGAAGGAAAATCCTTCCAAATAAGAGAAGAAACAAAAGATATGAAGAGAAATCAATTTTTTGAACATAAAAGAAACTGCTTCATACCTCTTCAATTTTTATTCCTATCTATCCAGTACTAGTTCATGCTCTTTCTCAGTTATGTTTCTCTCATTGTCAGGACAAAATGCCTGATGCCCGGAATTAAAGAAGGAAAGGTTTATTTAGCTCACAGTTTGGAGGTTTCAGTTCGTACTCAGCTGGCTGCAGGGCAGAGCGGCCCAGGGAGGAGGGCAGCAGTTCTTGGTGGTGGAAAACAGCAAAATAGTGACAGTGAAAGGGAGAAGCAGCAGAGCAAGCCTCTTCCCCTGCCTTATACTGTATCCAGGCCATGTGCCCCAGGGCAGGTGTCACACTCACACCATAATCCCAGCATTGGACCACAAAATGATCACAAACTCCACAAGCCACCCGATCACTGCATGAAGCTTTAGGGGGACAGCTAGACACAAACCATGACATGCTCTAAAAAAGCTCCTGGAGAGAAAGCAAGGCATAATTGCATTATTTTTCAGTTTGAAATTACCTCAAGTGTAACAGTGCTCAGCACATGCATATTCCTACATTCAATAATCTTAAAAATTAAAAATAATATTTAAACTTTCAAATTATACTTTAGAAAGTCAGGATTTCTATCTGATATTCTTCCCGAAGGCTAGGCTAAAACTGGAAGTATAACAAGTTCCAGAGAACATAATTTCTGAATGGCTTCAAACTTCCTTCAGAGGGAAGTTTAAATTTTTACATGTCTGGGCCAGGGAGATGGCTCAGTGGAATAAGCGCTTCCCTGGCAAGTGCAAGGGCCTGAGTTCAATCCCTGGTTCTGCCAAAAAAAAAAAAAAAGTCAATAGTATCTTCAAATTTTCTGTAAAAGACAAATCCATTTTTATTTATGAAGATTACTGTGAATCATAAGAAATTGGATGGTACAAAGGAAAATGTGAGTTTAATTTTAGTTTGTTTCCTCTTCATATGAAGTTATAAATGATTTCATCAAGATATTTTTATAATAGAGCTTTTCACATTTTGTCATCAGTTTGTGAACCTAATGTTTGAAAGCTTCTCTTCATCAATACTGACCACACAATAAAATGACTTTTCTTTCATCTGAATTTTTGCTACAGTGATTTTTCTTTATATTTTTTTCCCTACTTCTGTGGAATGTATGAATATATCACTTCACATTGTGCTGATAGGTCGTTTGGAACAAAACTGTTTGGGGGGCCTGCCCCTTAGCTCAGCTCTTTAAGTGGCTGCTTTAACAAAGCGGTCAGGCTCAGGTTGCTGTGGTTCGAGCCCCACAACTCTAGCCAGGCAAACCTGCCCTGAAGGCATTCGGAGAAAAACAAAAATCCTTAAAACAACAAAACTTTTTGATTGGGCCTTGTTATGGTTCTTGTCTCAGTGTCCCCCCCCCCCAAGGCCTCCTGCACTCATAGGTGGGGCTTTTGCAAGGTGGCTGGATCTAGAGCGCGTGATTGATATACTGTGCAATTCTTGGATGAAGGGCACTAGGATTAAAAGTGTTAGTGCTACCTGCACTAAGGAGCCTGGATAGGATATAAGGGGAAGAAAGAACTGTGACTGCTCCCTTCCTTGCTTGCTCTTTTATCTTCTGTGTGCAATGAATCCTTTCTCTTTTGCCATGCCATCCTGCTTTGGAGTCAGCCAACTATGGCCTGATTCCTTTATGAACTGTAAGTCAAATAAACTTTTCCTCTTTTAACTGTAGGTGTCAGGTATTTTTGCCTCAGCAACAAGAACAGTAACTAAGAAAAGCCTCAACAATAAGTGCAGTTTCTTAATTATTTAATAGAACAATTCTCTTTAAAATGGAGTGTTAAAATCCTCAATTAGTGTTTTCAGCCAATTGGAAACTACCCTCTATGTTTCTATTTGTTTGTTTTGTTTTTGTGAAACAAAGTCTCACTATATAGTTCAGGCTGGTCTTGAATGCACTGCCTATTCTTTTTTTTATGAGCAGAATATACTTATTGAGGGAAAGAAAACCCCTGTCAAAGAGAGGGACAGAAGGGGGGCCTGAGCAGGTTGTCCTCCTAAATATACTGTGTATTCCAGACTTATGTTGAACCCATGGTGATCCTCCTGCCTCAGCTTCCCAAGTGCTGGGATTGCAGGTGCCACCTCCCTAGTCTCCTCAATGGTTTTTTGGTTTTTTTTTTTTCCCCTCAATGGTTTTTAATTAAATGTAATTTTTTCTTTCTTAGAGCTCAGCTTCTAAACTATATGGTAGCTCTGAATTTGACCAAGTATCTCAGCAAGGAGCAGGATTATCTGCCGTGGCAGAGAGCCATCTCAGCCGTCACCTACATCATTAGCATGTTTGAAGATGACATGGAGCTGTACCCACTGATCGAGGTGATGTTTAATACTGTATATTAAGTGCAATGACACGACTACTTAAAGCAGAGAGGCTGTCTACACTTTCTCCTTGAAGTGCAGCACTATTTGTGGGTCGGTAGACTGTACGAACATAAATGTTAGAGGGTTAGAAGCAATTGAGATTTTATTGAAATTTTAAGACATTTTAAAACCCCAAATACTAACTAGATCCTATTTAAATTTTATCTTTGTTAAGCTAAATTTATTCTTGTCAAAATATAATGTAGTTCCTTTTTGTTATTGCTATTATTTCCACCTTGGCATGATAGTCTTTCTAAATACTTTTTATATTTTGCTGATTTCTACAGTGCTTTTGAAAGGCATCTATAATTTTAAACAAAATCTGGTTTCAAGTCCCTAACTTTTACTAAGTGAAAACCCTTGTGACAGTAACTTTATATTTGTTGGTGCTATTTCCTTTGTACAGTGAGAACGTTTGTACTGGTCTTCCTAGGACAATGGGATAATGAGGATCAGGGGATATAAAAGTACTTTGTAAACTATATTCTCCCTTGTTATATATGTTAGTGAAAAAAGTTATTAAAGAGGCTGACCCCTATGTACTGTAAAATATTACAGAAAGATCCAAGGTGCCTTCATTGAAATTGAAACAAGATTGCGTTGTGATAAAAACTGAATACATTCCTCTCTCTCTCTCTCTGTCTCTCTCTCTGTCTCTGTCTCTCTCT